TGGTAATCGTATGCTTTAGGAACACGAACGTTATTATGATTTTGGCATGGATGCTCTGGTAATCGTATGCTTTAGGAACACGAACGTTATTATGATTTTGGCATGGATGCTCTGGTCACCGTAGGCAGAAGAGCGAAAGTGCTTCAAAACCCACGGCAGAATACGCGCCGTGGACCAACTACTTAAGGGGGGCTATACCCCAAACCCTAAACCCCTAACCCTACATAGTAGTCTCCATTTTATTTTCCATTATCCCAATATAACCCCAATATAGTCTATCTACATCTATCTACTTAAGGGGGATTTCATTCAGATGCCGGAGGCTCGCCTGGGTTTTTGAGCGTGCAGAGACTGATTCTGACACAGCTGGATACAGCTTGCAACAAGCCATATGTGACCGTATGGAAAAGATGCAGTAGTTGACTTCCTGCTTTGGCGGTCTTGTCCATGTTGTAGGACCTGGTGCTTGTCGTGTATTGTGTGCAGCTGGAGGTCAGTTTGCTTCCAGAAGAGATGCGCGGCGTGCTGCAAAGCACGCAGGACTCTTGATGTAAAGCAAGAGGGGTCAGCAGCAACAAGTATGGGAACTGGTGAATATCATCAGGTGATTGTTTGTTGGGCGCTCGCACTTGCCAGGAAACTCTGAACAAGCGCAGGCGTCGTCGGATCGCTGAGAAAGAGGCATAAGTGCTGGCAGGGGCAGCACTGTGCTGCGCTGTGAGAGGTTAGCTTTACAAGCTTGAACTGGAGGCGTTTGCTGAAGCCGTGAGCAGGCGGAGGGACTGCAAGCGCCGTGCACTTAGATCACCTGGGATCGTCGGTGTTGAAGGTAGTTTCTAACGCCCGCCAAAGATGAGCATTCACTTGCTGCAAATTTTGGTGGTGTCTGTGTATCAGGCAAGACCGAGATTGCCTGGGATCTCAAGCACCCTCCTGAGTTAGTTCAGATTTTGCTCCTTCCTCAAGTTTTTGTGAGCAATGTTCAGCATGTGAGGTTGAGAGAAGTCGCATTGCTCGCCTTCCAGGTTCCAGAAGGTACCAGTGCAATTTCTGGACAACATTAAACCCAAAACCCTAACGCTGTTGCTTTGTAGTGATTGTGGCTACGGAGCATGACAGGATCACAAAGTCTTCGCAACCTGCGGGAAAGTCTGCCGAGGCCCGATTGCAAAGACATCCCCATAACATCCCTTACTTAGCCAATGGAAGAACTTTAACTTTTTTGGGCTTCCGTTTTGGGCCTCTATACAAAAGTTTAAACTTTTTTGGCCCTGGTTATGGGGGAAGAGAGATCCCTATCGGAGATTGGGGTTTAGGGTCTAGGGTTATCCCTATACTATCCCTACAACATCCTTGTAATGTCCCTAAAGTATCGTGATAATCTCCCGATAAAAGCCGTACAATATCCCTCTAATAACCCCTATCAGTTGCTGTACTTCTGCCTGCTTTTGGCTTGATGGAGGCTTGCGCCATTCCATGACTTGCTAGGAACTGTGCATGTCCGGCTTGTTGTTTCTGACTTTAAAGAAGCTGATCCCAACATAGAATTAAGAAAATAATGGAAACCATGATTTAGTGTAAGTACCTTATAGTTGTTGCCCAGTCTTCGTGCAGTCAGTGCCCTTGTTTCGGATACAAGCTTCTATACTTATTACTGGTACTATTATTCTTCTCAGTACTATTGTTACTACCATTACTACTAGTGTTACTGTGATTACTACCATTATTAGTAATATTACTATTATCATTATGGCTTTTATTGCTGCTATTATTACAATTATTATTAAGTAGCTGTGTGATCGCCGCGAGGCCGGACCGTGGTGAGAAGAGAACGCGCAAGGGATGACCTTGTGAGAAAATGCGGTGACCATCCTATCACGTGGGCTAAGGTCTAAACTCCTTAAAGGGGGTTCTATAGGGGCTTATATCGGGGACTACTACAGGGGGTGATGAACTGGGGTACTAGGAGTGTAGACTATAGCACATGTGAAATTTTCTCAAAACCATCTTTATGTATTACCTCTGTTATTTGCTACGTATTCCAGGGACCCCAGGGTCACTCCAGTACACCCCCATATGATTTAATATGATTGCAGAGGGTTAACTGAAGCAATGCTCTAATCTTGCTGGTGGTTAGGGAATGGTCCCTAACCAGCCCCTGTATCAATCAGCCCCGGTATAATCCCCCAAGCATCGTCGCCATATGGGCCATATGTGAATACTAACCAGCACCACCCTAGCCCACCCTAAAACCAGGAACCTAGAATCACTTTGATAGTTTCCATTTTCTTTGCCACTCCCTGGACACCACCAACACGTTATGCTGGCTTTTGGCTCATAGCGTGCTTCCACCAGCTAGCTGTGCCTGCACTGAGAGGTACGGCGGTTTCCAGAACTTGAGGGTATCCTTTTTGGAGGCCCTCTTGATTGGAGTTTTTTTGAGGTATATACAAGGAGATCCTCCATTTCTGGAAACCTCTGTGCAAAGCTGCGACATGGCTCGAATCTCTTCCGTTTCAGGGAACCAGATTGCAAGTTTGGATGCCGAGGAGCTTGGCGGCCTGATTGAGGTCCATGGCAGCTTAAACAGGGCTGTCAGGCGATACCTGAGGCCTCTAACTGGTGTACCCACTTTTCAACAGAAGCTGCTCTGCGATGGGCGTTTGTTGCTGGGGTCTTCCTGGGAACTGTTTTGAAATTATGCAGGATCACAATCCATAGGTCCTATGTATTTCCCAAGCCACAAGAAAGCCCCCAAGCCCCTAAACCCTAAACACTGAACCCCTAAACTCCCCAAAACCCCCAAAACCCTAAACCCCTGAAACCCCCAAAGCCCTAAAACCCTCAACCCTGAACCCCTAAACCCTTAAACCCCTAAACCCAGGCTGGAGGATGCGGATTCCTGGGATGGATGCGTCCGAGAGCTTCAGCTCGTCATTCTGCCAAGTTGCTCAGACAGGACAGAAGAGCCCAGGTGGCAGTTGTGGGGTTAAGGGTTTTAGGGTTCAGGGGTTTAGGGTTTAGAGGTTTAGGGGTTTAGGGTGTAGGGGATTAGGGTTTAGAGGTTTAGGGNNTTAGGTGTTTAGGGGTTTAGGCTTTAGGGGTTTAGGGTTTAGAGGTTTAGGGGTTTAGGGTTTAGGGGTTTAAGGTACAGGACAGAAGAGCCCAGGCCCAGGTGGCAATTGCAGGGGTTTAGGGTTTGGGAGAGGGTTTAGGGTTTGGGCTTTTAGGGTTCAGGGTTTAGGTGGCGCTTCTAGGATTTTTTTCATTTAGGCGGCCCTTTGGGATAATTGCAAATGTTTCCAGTTCTTGTACAAGGGAACCCATTTGTAAATACTTCGGGGGCACAGCCAAGGAACTATGGGCTGCCATGCTGAACAACTCACCATTGCAGGTCGAGGATCTACTCGAACAGTCGCAGGAGCTGCTGTCAAGATTTGGGTGACCAAGGGACCATTAACGGCTTAGGGTTTAGGGTCCCAAAGTTTAGGGTTATGAAAAGACCATTAAGGGTTTAGGGCTTCGGGCAACCAAGGACCATTAAGTAGGGACATAGGGCCCCTTTGGTAGTCTACTATAGTCCCTACAACGTCCATTAAGTATATGGGGAGTTTTGACTGTGGCTCACAGGATCCGAATGTGGCAGAAGCGCAGACAGGTTTGACGCCGTTACTCCTTGCTTCGTCTCAAGGTTCTACAGAGATTGCAAAGCTTCTGATTGAAGCCGAAGCGAAGCCCGATCAGGCAGATATTCATGGAGCTACACCTCTGAGAGCGGCGGGTGAAGGTAGCTTCTTGGATATCTTTCGTGTGCTCCTAGAGGCGAAGGCGGACAAGGACCTTTCGGATTCTGCAGGGGCAACTCCTTTGATGGTCTTTGCGCGTGAGGGTTCCGCCGCTGTTGTACGCGCACTGCTTGAAGCGAGTGCTGACAAGAACCGTGCAGCTTTGGACAAAGAAACGCCGCTCTTAGCCGCTGCGCGAGCCGGACACTGCCACACGGTGCATCTGCTGCTAGACGCTAGGTGGGTGTCGCTCCAAAGGCTTCCCTCATGCAGTCCTTTACTAGGATCCCCTGACGCCCTCTAGCAATCTCCATCTATCACCCGGAAACCTTATTAAAGGGTACCCAGCAATTCTGAGAAGCCACCAGGTCTGAGCAAAGACCAGATCGAACTGGTACTACTCCTCTCCATGCGGCATCCCAGAATTCTCTGGCCGAGATGGTAGAGCTACTGATACTCCGAAGAGCTGACGTAGTGAAGACTGACCTGAAGCGACGAAGCCCTCTGCTGGTTGCAGCCCGGGCGGGCTGTGCGGAAGCTGCCGGTCTTCTGCTTGCTGCACATGCGGATTGTGAGGCTGGTTCAGTGGTCAAGGACACACCTCTCCTGGTTGCTGCAATGCATGGGCATCTGGAAGTTGTGCGCTGGCTTCTCTGCTCTGCAGCACAGACAAATACGCAAAATTGTGATGGCACCACACCTCTGAGTGCTGCAGCAGGAAACGGACATGCAGGCATCGTGCAGGAGCTCGTGTGGAGTTCTGCAGAGGTGGACAGAACTGACCATATCGGAGCCAGCCCGCTGTTGGTTGCCGCAACATTCGGGCAATTGCAGGCTGTCCATGCTTTAGTCGATGCCCGCGCCTCAGCAGACCTTGCTGATCTTCACCACGAGACACCCATGCTGGCCGCAGCTAGGGCCGGTTTCTCCGAGATTGTGTTAACGTTACTTGGGGCCAGAGCAAGTCATCAAGCGGATGCCACAGGTGCAACACCCTTGAGAACCGCATGCGCGAATGGTCATGCGGCGATTGCCCAGGCCTTGCTGGAATCCAGGGCATGCGCCAATGCAGCAGACATTAATGGAACAACCCCACTGCTGGCTGCCTCTCGGCAGGGTCATCAAGGCATTGCTGAAACATTGCTCCTAGCTGGTGCTGACGCAGACCAGAGTGATGCAAGTGGAGTCACACCTTTGCTGGCAGCATCCGGCTTGGGCCACATGACCATTTTACGGCTATTGCTGGAGGCCAAAGCCGATATTGATAGGCCCAATGCGAATGATGAGACGCCTGTGTTTGTGGCAGCCGTCCAGGGGCACAGCAAAATCCTTCAGCAACTGCTAGCAGAAGGCGCAAACGAAACTAAGACTCAAGCAGCAGCGGTGGCATTGGCAGAGGCGGGTTGGTGGAAGCTGCTTCCGGAAGTTCAAGCTTTGCTGTGCCCCGACGATGATTGCGGGCAACTGCCTGAAAAGCTGACCCCAGATGATAGGTAAGCGTTCTTCGACGTGCTCTCCTTGTCAGCTTTGCAGCAGTCGCAAAAGACAGGCGTAAGTTGCAGCTGGCCTTTTTTTTGATGCAACATCACGGCGTGGGGGCGAGGACTTGCTTCTTCCAGAGGCTCAATGCAGAGAAATATATTCATGCATGAACCATGCGTTTAACTATGGGCAAGACAAGTTCAGGGCTGTCAAAATCTTGACTCAAGCAAGGGAGAAGTAAGACTAATGGAGTGCTCAATACGAACACATGGAAAAGAAAATGGAAACCACTATAATGGGTTATATTGTTGGGCCCTATAATGGAGAATCAAATGGAAAAGAAAATGGAAAATGAAATGGAAACTGGGGGAATTTAAGTTACTATAAATGCTGTGCCAAGCAAGCTTAGCCCAGCTCCTGTCGAGGTGCAAGGTGCAAGGTAGACATTAGCTACTGTCAACATTAGCCCTATTAAGGGGCCCTTAATAGTGGACTTGGGGTCTCTCTTGTAGTTTCATATAGTCCCTCATATAGTCCCAAATAAAGACCGCAGCCGACATGGACAGCGTTGCTGATGATGTTGGCATACGCGTGCGGCGGAAGCAGAAGAGGCACTTCCTGCAGGACTTCCAGAGCCTGTTCACAAAAACACCCTAATGTACGCTTCAGGGTTTAGGGCTTAGGGTTCAGGGTTTAGGGCTTGCAAGATGTGGATTGGGTTTTAGGCTGGCAACAGGCGCACAAGCATGGCCACGAATTGGTGAAACAGTTTCTCCTTTTCTAGAGTTTTCGTGAACAGGCAGACAACAAGGACACGTGCATTCATGCACATAACACCGAGTTTGCACAAGCCTCCACGAAAAAGAAATCAAACAAAGACAAACAAAGAAAAGCACAAAAGAACGCCTAGGCAAAGAAATTAAGAGAACATGCAGAAAACAAGCAAGACGTGAACAAATCGTTGGGCCAACCGAAACAGGAAGCAAACCAAGAGCGGCAAGTATAAATGAGGAAGCACAGAAGCAGAAAGCGTAATAACTTCAAGGAGTACTTAACAAACGTAAAACCGCAAAGACGAAGAAGGAAGGAGCGAACTTTTCAGCTGTCTCGCGCACTAGCACTCTCAACCGTACTGCAAAAGTGGCAACCTGAAATTACATGTAGTATTGAAAGCTTCGCCACAGGAAACTTGTACCTCGGTCCCGGAAACCTAAACTAAAACCCAAAGCCCTACTGGCCTAAACCCTGAGCCGAAAATAAATCCTTGGAAACACAACTCAACCTGTTCCTATGCAGCACTAGTTTAGCATACGGTTCAGGGTTTAGGGTTTATTTAGGTAGCTCCTCCGAGACACTGAGAACAGCCTCAATCTACTCCCGGCACAGCCCGCAAACCTGGATTGAGCATCACCCAGAAAAAAAACACCTTCTCCTAACCAGCCAACATCCAAGCGGCCCCTATTTTGAGAAACTCACGTATGGTAGTTGATCAACATCCTATATTTCCTTGTGAACCTATAGGACCTTGAATAGATTGCCCAAAAGGACCTTCTAGATCAACTCTAAACCCTAAACCCCAAACCCTAAACCCTACCACCACATTCAAGTTCTTGGACCCCGAAGCCGCTGCCTGGAGGACTCGCGGCATGTGTGGCAGCTGCTCGGCGACGAGCCGTCCAGCAGCCGAGGCTTGAAAGTTGTGAAGGGTTTAGGGTTTAGGGGTACCTCAAATGCATCTCAAGTAGTCTATAGAAGCCTTACCAACTTAAGGATATGTGAGCGTTATGTCACGGTACTGTAGAACTTATGCAGGGTTATGGTTCTGGCGTCAAGGGTAAAATAGCAGTACTCTAGAGATTATATACAGTAGGGCTTTCATAGGGTTATGAGTTTGGGGATATTACCCCAAAAATGGAAATCGAATGACATGGAAAGTGGAAATGGACTAGCATAAGTAGGGACCGATATTGTAGCCCCTGAAAGGGTTCAGGGTTTAGGGGTACCTCAAATGCATCTCAAGTAGTCATTTCTGCTCAAAGCCATGTGCCAATAGTATTCTTACATCGCCGGAAGTCAGAGCTTTTGTTCATTGAAGCTGGAAGCCCTGGAGCCCACACAACATGTACAACTTAGGTGGACGCCCCACCCTGTAATAGTGGTATAATACGAATATAAGAGGACCCTAATATCATTACCTTTATCCATTATAGTAACTATTGCTGGGTGGGGGGTCCACCTAACGTACAACAGACAAGCAGCGAGAAGCTGTGTTTCGTGGAGCTCTCAGGCAGTTCTAGGTTGTGCAGCTGCCAACAGCCGAACCTAGGAGAATGACTGTTCTCGGACGGTCGCCGTTCTGCGTTGCGTAAGTCTAGCTGTATTGCTTGGGGCAACACCGTCCGCCACCTTAAAGCCAGACCGTTGGTCAAAGCTTTATAGGCGGGCCTAGGGAAAACGACAAGCTGTGCCGACGGCTGCATGTGGCCGCTGTGATGTTATCACCTTGACGTTGCATCTTTGGGCACTGTTCCTGCAGACTACACGAGAGGAAAGCAACCGAATGCCGGTTCGAACTGACTTGTTTAACTTGCAGGTTCGTTTGTACTGAAATTGTTGCTCCTGTAGTTCCGGCTTAGTGATGGTTTGTTTCATGGGTTTGACTGACTGTTGTGCTTCGTATGTAACCCATTATAGTAGTTTCCATATTATTTTCCATTATCCCAATATAACCCCAATATACCCCTAATATTACCCCATACTATATACCAGTCACGGAGGCTCCTACGACCTTCATCGTGACATCCTTGGCCGGCGCGGTAGTGGCCTGTGCCGAAGCAGCGACACTGCGGGGCACCTACCTTGCAGGTTCTTAGGTTCCGTGGAACTATAGGGATTATATAGGGGTATAGAGGGGTTTTATAGGGATAATGGAAAAGATAGGGTTTGAGGTTTCCCATAATTAGGGGGCCACTTTTTGGGGTCCCCATAATGCCATGATACGGATTACAGTATATTGGGGTATATATTGGGTCACTGTACTCATGGAGACTTCCACGTGTTTGCGGACATTCCTTTAGAAATTCATGTGATGTTAGCCCAAGGTTTCCCTGTGCTTCGGACAGAAGGCGCGCGCCGCGGTCTTCATTAGGAATGGGTTAGGTTTTTCTAGCTACATAATCCCAGTTTCCATGTCATTTTCCATTTTCTTTGCCCTTGATTCTCCATCGAAATATCCCTAAACCCTATTTTCCAAAGCCTAACTAATTTCCATCTTCTTTTCTGTTAGCCCTAGATAAGTCTATGTTGGATGCATTCAAGAGTATCTGGTGCAGAATGGCTCCACACCTTCCTGCGTTGCTGTTTAGGAATTCAGTTTAAGTTACCATAATATGGAGATATACTGGGTTGCTGTTAAGGAACTTAAATTAAGTTACCATAATGTGTATATATGGTAAATAATAGGGTTTCCCCCATAAAGTAACTTAATTTAAGTTCCTTAACAGCAACCCAGTATAGCAGATCACAGGGTTTTCCGTATTATGGTAACCCTAAACTCTAAACCCTTCAACCCAGATTCATGACTTGCACAAGCCTTGGAGGCGAGAAGCCTGTCACCGCAGACGCAGGCAAAGCCGCTAGGTTTTGCCTGTCTTAGGAATAGTGGAAAAGAACATGGAAACTACTATTTAGGGTTTGGGGTTTTAGGGGTAGTAGGGAATAAAGGAATATACTCTATAGGGATTATATCCCCTGATTCCCTGCTAAGCACCCTAAAGCCCACTAAGTGTCTGTGTCGCCTTGAACTTGGCCGACTTGGCGAGACTGGAGCAAAATCCGGTGCCAAATCAACACAGATGATGTGTAACAAAGCAGTGCTGTTCAGATCCTAGAAGCAAATGGGATTTTCCCTAAATAAGGGGATCCCAATATAGACCCCAAACACTAGAATCCTTATTATCGGGACCCCCAAAAAAGGTACCCCTACAATTTGGGAAACCTTAGACCCTAAGCCCTAAACAGTAGCTTCCACTTTCTTTTCCATCATCCCTAGTATAACCCATATATACACCTATGCAACTCCTATATTACCCTAAGCCCTGATTTTCGGAAACCTTCAAAAACCCATATATACTACTCCTATCTAACTCCTATATTACCCCTAAACTCTAATTCTCGGAAACTCTGAAATCAGATATTTGCATGTCATTGGTGCACTGCTGCAGGTATCGAGCCCAGCCTATTCGCCACATGGGCAAAGCCGCCTGATCCTGAGATCTTGATGGGGCTTTACACATTTGGTAGTTCCTATACACAGGGCGACGTGAAGATGGGCACCACAATTCTATGATCCTGATTTTTGGGAAATCCCCAGCAACAGTTCAAGAGCTCAGAAGAAGTCAAAGTGATTCGGATCGGAGCCCTTCTAAATACAGACGATTGAGGCACGAAGCATTTACGGCCGTATTCTGTGTTACATGAACCCTCTGAAGATGGTGGGAGCTATGTGCGCTTTTCTCGTGTGTGGGGGCGCTTTCCTCATCTCTCCCTCCGTCTACTCTCTTTGGCGTGATTACCCTTGTTCCTGAACCACTTGCAACACAGGACAAGCAGGCCAGGGCATGCTAGACTTTTGAAGTAGAGTTATGCAGGTTAGGGGTACATGGAGATGTATTGCCCCAACATTGCAGAACCAAATGGGAAATCACAGAAAGATTACCATATTGAGGTAGATGTTTGTATGTATCAGCAAGGAGTATGGGAGGGAGCTGTTTTCAGCTGAGCAAGCCGTTGTCGAGTCTAGACCCAAAACCCTAAACCCTAAGCCTTAAATAGTAGCTTCCATTTTATTTTCCATTATCCCAAAATAACTACAATATATTCAATATATACCCCATAAAAATATAGTAGTTTCCATTTCCTTTTCCATTATCCCAACATAACCCCCTGTATAGAACCCTAAACCCTAGATCAGGTGCTGTTCCCGAGGAGGTGGCCGAGTATGGATTTACTCGACT